AAAAAAAAAAAAAAGGAGGATTGGCAGATGTTAGCACAGGGCTGATCTTCCTCACAAAAAAAATAAATAAATAATAATAATAAAAATCACTGATCTAATATGTTTTCGCTAATAAGAAAAGTTAGTATTCATTTTGATCTATATTTTTAAATGATTAAAATAAATATTCTGGCTATGTTGAAAAATAAATTTTCAAGCTCATCTGAAAGAATGTATAGGCAAAAAGCTACATGTCAAACAATATTAATTAGTTGTGTGAAACTCAAAAATAAATCCTGAAGTCAACTGAATAATAAATATTGAAAAAATAATACTGAAGTCAAGGTAAACTAAACATGCACAGATACAATTTGTAAACAGAATTTCTTCATATTATTGAAGCAAAAATACATACCACAATGCATAAAACAAATTACATATAAATTTTTTTGTTTTGAAAGACAAAAGTAGGAAATATGTAATTTGATAGCACCCATATCATCTACATTCATCAACACTATTTATAAAACAGAATTTTTTAAATCTTTGAAACTTAAATAAGTTTAAATCAAATATCAATTTTCACAAGGATGAAATTTCACTAGTTTTTGATTCAGTTAAGTAACAAATCCCACAGAGCCAGTGGTTAGGTATTTTTTCTTTTAAAATAGCATAATGTTAATAGTAATAGTAAAAGTAATACACATAATTGCAAAACACTTAAAGAGTACTTACATGTGCCAGACATTGTTCTAAACACATAAAAGTCCTCATTGATTTGTAAGGACTATGCATCAACTACAAAGCTTTCTGTGGTAAAACTGTACTATAATACTTACATAAATCTACACTCAAAATAGTGTCATAAAGGTTATAGTAGGGTTAGTCATATGCTTTTTGTTTAAGTTCTTCTTCCTGGCTACCACTCTTCTCTCCCACATTGTAAAGGCCAGGCATGCTGCATTTGGGGTGGAATACAAAGGTGAAGTGAAATCACTGTGTGCCGTCATCCAGCTGTAAAAATGGCTGAATCCTGTTCATGACAAAGTCGACAATGGGTCTGGTTGAGGTTTCCTTTCTTAGGTCAAGTATAAAGAAGCACTGTGGATTACCCAGAATGGCACTGTATGTGGTCTCCAACCTAGGAAGAACAGAACTCAAGGGCCTTCACTAGAGAGTAAAGGGAAGTGAAAAGGACATTTCCCATTCTCTTTCTCTCTCATGTTTTAAAGACAGACAAAACTTTTCCTAGGAGTCTAGCAATAAGTGACTGGTCTGTTGCCACTGTCTTCATCTTTGGGAATTTTTTTCCATAATTTTATGGGGATGCTAGATGATAAATAGCAAATGGCTCTTCGTTAGGAAATAGAGGGTATTTTGGTATTATTGAGATCTCATCTATTCTGAAGAATTGAATAGAACAGAAAAACTCAAAAACATGAAAGACTAATTACATTATCCAACTACCATGGTCAACAAGCAAATGAAAAGAGATATTTTTTTTATCAGTTATACTTGTGATTTAGTCCACATTTGTTGATACTGTCAAAGAGTGAGTCTACTTTTCCAGTGTATCGTTATAGTTCAGTAATATTTTTGCCTCTAATAAAACTACTCACTATAAATAAGTTCTCAGAAAAAATAGTCTTCAGATATTGCCATAATAAGTATGCCTTTTTCCTAGTATTTTCCTACATAAATACCCTCTCCTGACAATATTAAACTATTCAGTTACTATAACTAAAGTTCTAAGGAAGAAACTAAAGATGCTTCATGAATGAGTCTTAAAGAATGGGGACTCTGATGGAAAAAACTTAATAATTTTCACATTTGATAAATAAATGATTTTTAAAAATAGTGTTTTGCATATTGAAAAAGAATCAAAGGGCCAGTAAATAGCACTGTATACAATGAGTTTAAATGTGAATCTGCACTGGTAAAATCTCTCACAAAACAACAACTCTATAAACAAAATATTATTTTTTAAAATTTAAGATGTTACATGCTTGTGAATGGTAGCTGATATGTAACAGAAAAGTACTGATTTTTTAATTATTAATTATCATCAGAATACATGTTCAGATTGGCAAAAAAGACTCTAACTAGATCTCATCCAAGGTGCCTTAATGAGCAGCTCACTCCTAGCACAGTGTCCAAGTTCTCTAGTTTCATGTGCCAAAAGTGTTGCTTCAAAATCAAAGCTTCATGATTTCACAGCTCAAACATAACACTTCAACAAACAACAAATATGATTTTCTATTATTTAATAATCTTCTTTTTGGTAGTTCCCTAGCTAAATCAGAAATACATACAGAGCTCACTCGTGAACTACTGACAGCACCAAGTCATTTTGTAAAAGAAGCTGGATAAAACCATGGTATACAGAAGCAGTTTTACAATACAGTCTTTTAAATACCTTATAGAACTACTATCAAACATAGCAATTTTACTAGGCAAAGTTCAAATCTAATTAGTAATTAGTTTCCTAAGAATAAACTGTTTTTATTTAGTAATATAAATAAAAATTAAAATATAGTAAATTTAGTGTTTGCTCTTTAATAAGCAGAAATGGTTCTAATTTTGTTATATAGAAAAAAATCTAGAAATTATTAAAACATTATCTAACTTATTTGTCAATATCAGGGACTTTATAAAAACAAAAGGTATAATGTAAAGTCACCTTTAATTGCCAAAATTATGGTTGCATTCAAAAACAGTAGGAAGTTTATGCTTTAATACGTACCAAGAAGTGGTGACATATTCTGAAATATACGAAGCAACTCTGGTGTAATACATGGGCTGTTTTCCAAAGTCACTAACCTAGGAAGAAAAAAACATGATTAAATCACTTTCCATAACCATTAAAACTATCAACAATGCAACCTAAATATAAAAAAACTGTGCCATCCAAAGGAAGAAAAATGGACAATACAGAAACTTATAAAAATTATCTTTCTAGGAAAAAAATTACCAAATTCATTAAAATTAAAAACCTATCTATAAACCATATAATATTATTTCTATATACATAGCAAAAATAGTTAGGAAAGTAACCACATACTAATATATTTATAATAATAAAATTATAATGATAAAGCGAAAGCATGATTTTTATAGATTGGTCAAGGAGAGATAAAAATTATTTTGTTTTTATTTTCTTGATATATTCTTCTGTCACATGTAATTGACATGTCCCTTCAGTGAGACACTGGGCTAATTAATTAGTAAAACAACTTATGTTAAATGTTTAATAAATACGAACTTAGTAAAACAATAAATATGAACAAAGGCCATTTACAAGCCAATCTCACTCACAGTATTAGCAATTTAAAATATTCAATGTATAAAAAATAAAATATATGTGGGTTGCAGTTTATTACAGAAGCATGCAGTTGGTTTACCTCCTCACCACTCCCCCACCCGCCAAAGAAGTTAAAGGAGAAAAAAACATGATTGTCGCAACAGACGCAAGAAAAAAGTGACAAGGAATCCTATTCAAAAATCTAACATTCACTATAAAAAGTCTTATCTGATTACACACAGAAAGGAACTTCCATAACTTTATAAGAGAGTACCTACCAAACACTCACAGAAAACACACCTTGTGATGATATGTTGAAACTATTCTCTGGAAAAAACAGAAACACGCCTCAAAGAACATTCCCTGTTACCTCGCCTATCTTGACATCTATTGAGTGTATGTACGGGGGGCCTCTCACATGATATGCCAAGTAAGTTAATAAAAGATACATGGGTAGGAGAGGAAAAAGTTAAATAGTCTTTATTTACAGAAGATATAACTGATAGAAAAGAAAGAAAGAAAGAATTCATAGACAAATTATTCAAATTACTAAGACAGTTCAGCAAGGTCGCTGAATATAGCAATAAAATCAATTAAATTTCTATACATCAAAACAAATACTCAAGATTTAAACGGATATTATAAGAGTCATAAATAACAAAAGTCTAACATCATAAAGATGTCAGTTCTCTCTAAACAGTTATACAGAATCAATAAAACTTTAATTCAAATCCCTATAGGGTTTTCCCTGAAAATTAGCCAAGCTGATTCTCAAATTATTTGGAAGGCAAATGACCAAGACAAGAAATTTCTCAAGAAAACAAAAAAGTACGGGGAGTGGGGGGAGATACTTGCTTTACCAGATATTATGACTAACTAAAAAAACCACTGTAATTAGTATCACAAACAGAATAGAAAGCACAAAAAACAGACCTTTTCATACATGACAGATGAGGTTCCAAAGGTAAGTAAGGAATGGTTGGACTACTCAGTCTTTGGTGGTGAGATGCTGGACCTCTACCTCACACAAAATTCAGAAATTAATTCCAGGACTTACACGACAACAGTAAGGCTTTACTTTACAAGATGTCAGGAGAACATTTTTGTGGCTTTAGGTTAGAGAAACATTAAAGGAAAAGACAGATAAATATGACTACATTAAAGTTAAAAATTACTGTGTATCAAAAGATGCTTCAAAAAAGTTAAAATATAAGTCACATACGGGAGAAAATTGTTTGCAATATATGTAACTGACAAAGGAGTAGCATCTAAAGGAATAATATCCAAAAGAAGACAATAAGAGAAAAATGGACAGAACACATGAACACAAGCATTTCACAGAAGATACAAAAATTGGCAACAAACTTGACTATAAAAAATATAAAAAGATAACCAACTTGACTAGTAATCAAGAAAATGTAAATTATAACCAAAACATGGTACAATTTCATCATATTAGCAGAATTTTATGTCTAACATACCACATACTGGCAAAGCCAGAGAACAGTGGGAATTCTTGCACGCTGCTGACAAGAGTGCAAGTTGATATAATCACTTTGCAAGATAATTATTATCTAGTAAAACTGAATATGTAAATATGTATATACCTATGACCTAGCAATTCCATTTCTAGACAGAAATGCCTATAGCGCATAAGGTCTCATACATTTGCACTAAGAGTCTCGTACAAGAATGTTCATAGTTGCATTATTTGAACATCAAACCAAATGGCAAATGAGTAAATGAATTGTTACATTCACACCATTAAACCCATCAACATAGATGAATCTCAAAACAGAGAGCAAAAAAGCAAGTTAGAACACATGATACGATTTATATAAAGTTAAAATATATTGTTTAGAGATAAACACACATGTGATTTTAAAAACATTACAACACAAGAAAGAAAACCAAGGAATGAAAACAAAAAAAATGGTACAATGGATTATCCTTGGCATGGAAGCAGCATTCAACAAACATGCTTCACAGGCATTCTTACTGTTCCATTTCTTAACCAGGGTATAGAAAATGGATTTTCATTTTTTATAAGTTATAAATAATTACAAACAATATGAGCTCCATATTATTTTGTATCTATAAACTATTTCACAAATTTTAAATGACTAAAATCAGAGAGGTGGGGTGAGGGGAACACAGGAAAACCCAGCCACCCCCAAAATGGAGTACTTCCCACGCGCACAAGTAATGATATCTCTAGACATCTTACCCTGATCAACAATAACAGGATTTGATTCAATTTTTAAAGAATAAAAATTCAAGAAAGGTAAAAAAATTTTATCCTATTCAGCTTTAAAATAAACATGAAACCAAAAGAAAAACTACAATCCAGTCATGGGATTTCACTGAGAAAAGAACTGAAGGGCATATTCTAAATACCAGAAGATGTTTAAAAAACGCTTCGTCAATGGGTCCAGATGAAGCTTATCTCTGAAGTTCGTTCCTTCCCTCCCACAGTCATTCTCTTAGTGAAAAAGGCCAGTCAGGTCATTGTCACTCTCACTTCCTATGGTACTTTCCACAGTATAAACCAGGCTATTCAAAAAAGGAAAAAATCTTGAAGAATTTAAACTACTTAAAAACAAAAGGAGACAGTATGTAACTCCAGATTAAACAAAGACTTGGAAAGAATAGGAAGTGAGGCAAATAAAGTCAAAGCACTGAAGTCTTTACCATCAAGCAAAGGGGAAAGTTACTATTGTAATGAATAATTAGACAAAGCTATATGTACCAACATCTTTAACTACAGAAATGTAAAATTTAACGTAAACCCTTCCACAAAAAAATAGAAAAGAGAGTATAAAGTAAAAAGACAGACATATTAATTCAACCAATAAATGTAAGAACATCAAAATTCTTTTGAAGTAAAGCATCTTTAGTTAGGTTAAAATACAAAATATAAAAATTTGCTCTGTATAGAAGACATAACTAAATTTTAAACAGAAAGGCTAAAATGTAAAAGATGAGCAAAGACAGTTAAGTCAAATTTAAAAATAAATCATATGACAATATTAATATCAGATAAAATTTAAATGCAAAAGAATTAAAAGATGGAAAATTAATCACAACATACATATATTACATCCACATGATGCTTCATGAAAATATTATAAATTTTAAATACTATAGTTTATTTCTTAAATCTTTTAACAATACACAAAACTACCAAAATTTTGTGCAGTGAATAATGTTTTTTTAAAACTTACGGATCAAAACTCATAGAAATAAAAAGGGGACACTGACAAAAAGAAAACTGAATGGGATATTTTAAGAAATCAGTGTAAAGATGAAAAGGCAAAACAATAATGTGAACTATACAACCTACAAGTTAAAAAATATATATATAAAAGTCTGCATCATTACTATTTATGTGAATATATTAAAAAATAGAGCCTATAAGAAGTCATTAAAATTCATATTAAGTTTTAAAAAATTATACAAGTGACATGTTGTATTTACAATGCAATAAATCCAGACCTGAACCATATAGCTTGATATCGGCAAAAAATCAACGATGTTGGGTCAAAGAAGTCATTTAAAAAACTGTAATCATTATACATCAAGACTAAAGGGAAATAGGTAGTTACACTTCAAAACAAATCCACAAATTTAAATATTTTAGCACTTTAGAAAAACCAAGGTAATAAATAACCATTTGTCTTATGGTTTTAAGAAAATACACCCACAACTAAGTGTAGGAAGTAAAAAATCTGAAGCAGAAATTAAGTAATGAAAAGATAGAAACAGAATTCATAAATCTAACATGTAATTCTTTCATATTACTAAAAAAACTCTAATAAATGTACTTTAAAAAGAGATAAAATGGGCCGGCCCTGTGGCTTAGCGGTTAAGTGCGCACGCTCCGCTGCTGGCGGCCTGGGGTTCGGATCCCGGGCGCGCACTGACGCACTGCTACTCCGGCCATGCTGAGGCTGCGTCCCATATACAGCAACTAGAAGGATGTGCAGTTATGACATACAACTATCTACTGGGGCTTTGGGGGAAAAATAAATAAATAAAAAAATTATAAAAAAAAAGATAAAATAAAAATAGCAGAGATAAAACAAATGTCTATAAGTGTTTTAATAACACCTTAAGGGACTAAGTGCTGAAATGAACAGACATCAAAAATCAAAACCAAAACAATATGTATAAACTAACAACTAAGAAACAATCTAAGAATGTTATCAAACTGACTGACTCCTCGGCCCCTGCGATGAGTCCATTTTCAGTTCCCTTTATTATTGAATTTTCAAATATCAAAAGAATAGATAGTTACTATATTACAGAGACCATTCCAGTATGAAGAAAATTATTTTTAAAAACTGGTAAATTGGTAAAACAAATATAACCCTAATATGAAATCAGATAGTATCATAAAATGTGGATTATAGATCCAACTCAATAAGTAGAGGAAAAGATAAAATTAGATAACATACTAGAAAACATAATTGTACAATATATTAAATGTATAATTCACCCTACAAAGTAAAGTTTATCTCGAGTCAACATTTTTTTAAAGAGAGTTTTTAAAAAAGGATAAAATCTCCTGAGTAGATGGCAAATATCAACCAAATTAGTCTTTTTTTAAATAATGAAGAACATATTACATTTAATGGTATACAGCTGATGCTGGTTGTTGACCAGTATCCACTACCCCATTTTATTTCCTTAAAAAAAACTGTTCATGAAAGGTCTTTTGTTCAAATTCTGTTTAAAAATATTTTATACTATTACGTTTATATTAGGAAAGAAGAAAGACTAAAAATTACTGAGATAAATCTTAGAATGTAGGTTAAATAACAAAGAAAAACAAACTTAAAGCAAGTAGGAAGAGGAGATAAATATAAGAGCAGAAATTAAGAAATACGAAACAAACATGCAACAAAGAGAATTAAAGCCAAAGGCTGGTTCTTGGAGAAGACTAATAACATTAACAAATCTCTAGCAAGATGGATCAAGGGGGGGGTGGGGGGGGGATCACATAATCTGTCTGAAGTTTCACTTTGTACACACGACCATAAGCATCAACTGATACTGGTTATCCCCAGTAAGTTCAAATTTCCAATCTCCAAGATAACTATTTTATACCTTTGCTCTCATATCTTGCATACATTCCTACTCCAGCCCATAACAGCTGATGACTATGCTTCACATTTTGTTGAGAAAACAGAGGCTATGAGATGGAACACCTTCCTAGCTCATTCCTCTATAATAGAACTTCATCTTCCTGCACCCAGTTAAATTAAGTATCCCTGCTGTTTAAAAAAAAAATCGACCCCTCAACTTGCACTGAAGCTCATCCCTTCTTGCATCCTTCAATTATCTCACTTTCTCTCGAGCCTCACCCATCCCTCTAGACCTCACATTCCCCACACCAGCCAGCTGTTGCCCCATTTCCACACTCCTCTTCATAGTAAAAGTTCTCAAACAAGTTGTCAGTGCTCACAGTCCGTACTTAACTTCCGATTCATGCTTCAACCTACTCCAATTCTAACTTGTGTTCTTTTACTCCACTGAAACGCCTCCTATCATCTCCATGTGGCCAAATTCACCACTCTGTACTACTGTTACTAGGACGATCAGCAACATTTGACCTAGCTGACTACTTCTCTTTTAGGAAATATTCTCTCTTGGCTTGGTTTTCCTCCCACAACAGTAGACAGCTCTTCTTTGTCATCTCTGACGGCTCCTCATGTGACCTCAAAACATTATAAGTTCTTTAGGATTCTGCCCCAAGCAGAACGTTCTCTATTTGCCCTTCTCTTCCTAGGCAATCTCATCAATTCTCAGGCTTTAAGTGTCTTATACAAAGTGCTAACCACTTTACAAACACCATCTCATCCTTAGGACAGTTCTGTGAAGTACAAATTATTTTTCCTCATTTTACAGATAAGGAAACTGAGGCTCACAGAAGATGATTACGAAACTAATGCAGTGGTATTATGGGATTGACACCCATAGCTGATTCCAAATATGAGTTCTAACCCACTAAGAAAAATATATGAAGAAATGTGTACCTTGATTCTTTAAAGAATCTTGGATATTAATAAATTTTAAAAATGTATTGTAATGATTTTGTTTACATATAACTAAAGGCTAAGAAAAAAGAAATTACCATTAACAGAGCAATGTACTTTTATTATTACCTGTTCATGTAATCCTTAAAAAATTTATACACCTTTAATAAACACATTAATATACGAAGTCTTTAATCCTGGTAAGTATCTGAGTCTGTCTCTTTACTATAGCTAATGTTTTTAATTTTCCTAATAATCAACATCATATAATATCTACATGTTTACAGGCAGAGATTAATGTTCTATTTTGTAATCTAGAGTAGGGGTTGGCAAACTACTGTTCATGGGCCAAATCCAAACCATGTCCTATTTCTGTAAGTGATGTTTTATTGGAACACACCCATGTCCATTTGTTTACTTATTATCTATGACTGCTTTGGTGCTAAAACAGCAGAGCTGAATAGTTAGGACAGAAAGTGCCTAGCCCAGGAAGCCTGAAGTATTTTCCATCTGCTCCTTTACAGAAAAAGTTTACCAACCTATAATCTAGAGTAATCCATCCTGTACAAATAAAAATACATGAACATAAAAGGTTCTAACACATGCTAACTTACAATCAAACCGTCCAGAAGTCATTTAAATTCAAACACAACTTAGAAAAGAATATAAAGAACACAAATTGTAAACTAATATCTACCTAGTTAATGTTTTAAAATCATCCATCTAGTATTCTGATATAGATCATTAATTTATAATTTGCCCCAAAGACAATTTCTAAGAATCAAAAAACTGTTAATTCCAAGACATCTAAACAAAACTAAGGAAAGAAGAACAGAAGGACAGACGGACACCACAAACGTTAATTTTTTTCTGTGGTTAATTTCTGTGATTTGCTTTTTTTATTCCAACAGTCAGTTTATATATTGGAATTTTTAAACCTTTCCTGTATTATAAACTACATCTTAAATAAAGATTGGCCCTACAGAAAACTGCCGCCATCAGGAAGATAAGCTTCATAAAGCAAAAGAATGTTCTAGTACAGTTCCTTACAGTTTGTGGCACTAAGCTGCCACAGAAACAGGATGTTCTTTTTTCACTTCTTAACACTATATACTACTTACTCAATAAAATAATAAGTCAAGACTAATAGCACTAACATTTGGGGCTGAGGTATAATATCTCAGTACTTACTGGGTAACGTAGTAAGAGGTTGAAAAATAACTCCTCAACATCCCCCAAAACGTCTCATTTAACACACTGGAAGTTTTAAGTGAATTTTTAGTTTTGAAAATTTATCAAGATCCCCATATTCCAAATTCAAAAAGATGAAACACAGCTGAGTTCTTACTGAAATATCCTCTTTAACTTTGATTATTATAAGCCTACACTGAGTGAAAGCTGCCAAGAAAAGATGGAGTTACCCAATTCGGGGAAACTGATCTTGTTTTTGTTTTTAAATGCTGAATTTTTAAGCCCTGTTACATGACCTTTGCTTTATTGGAATGAGAGTAGGGAAGACCAGGAAAAAAAAGTAAGACCCATGGTATTAAGATTTTCCTCTTACCATAATTCTAAACCATCTTCCAGAAGATAAACATGTGGAGGCTGGGAAACATCTGTACTCAGTTGAATAACTGGGAGCAGGAAAGGGTACAGGTTCTTGCTGTCTGCTCCTAATCCCTATGGGAAGTATAAATAAAACTTAACATAAGACACTCTAAGGTCCCACACCCCACCAAAAAATCACCTATCATATAAAAAAGCCCTAAAACCAACTTACAAAAAATAAATCAATCAGATTTTTAAAGAATGGTCCTAATTATAACCACTACTAAAATAAAGTTAGTTCTGTTCACAATTGGAAAGTAGCAAAAAATATTATTCAATTGCCTAATGGTAATAAAACTATATACACCGAGGCTACACACATCGGTTCATTTTAAGAGATTCCACATGTAAATATTTATTTTCCCCTCTCTGATTACTGAAGAGGTGTTAGTGATATATTAAATTCTATAAATGATCTCACCTAAATAATCTAAAATGAACCCAACCTAAATGTCCATCAGCAAGATAATTAAATTATAGTACATTCATATTCTAGGATACTGAGTAGCCATGAGAAAGGATTAGGCATGGAATGAAAACAACCTCAAAAATAAATACAAATTGGGGGCCAGCACAGTGGTATAGTGGTTAAGCATTCGCGCTCCACTTCGGCGGCCTGGGGTTCGTGGGTTCAGATCCCAGGCACAGACTTACACACTGCTCATCAAGCCATGCTGTGGCGGCATACAAAATAGAGAAACACTGACATAGACGTTAGCCCAGGGACAATCTTCCTCAAGCGAAAAGAGGAAGATTGGCAACACATGTTAGCTCAGGGCCAATCTTCCTCACCAAAAAAAAATAAACAAAACAAAAAAATACAAATGGGATTAAAAAAGTGCAAAAGTGTGTATAACAACCCCACATACCAAAGAATTTTTTTAAATAGCTATATGTCTATACGCAGATATATGCATAAAAATGTTTCTTGGGAGCAAATAGGAAAAACTGTTTAATACCAGTTAAATATAGGAAGGGGAAAAGAATGTTGGAAGGGGATAAAAGGAGAATTTTTGGTTTTTTTGCTTTTTTGAAAACTTTTTAAAAAATACGTACATGTTATTTTTTCAATTAATTTTTGCTAATATTTTTAATGAGCCAAGAATACAAAGATGGAGGAAGAAGAGGGAGTTTTATTTAAAATTCTAGTCTGGCTAATTATTGCCTTATGGAGGTTGACTTACTGTATCACACTAAATCTAAGCACATGGAAAGAAAAGAAAAAAGACAAAAAGTCAATTTCTAATCCATAATAATCTCTATAATCTGATAAACACAGAAAGGAAACCAAATAAACTATCAAACACCTCCTGACAGGAAATAATTCAAATGTCAATATAGTTTATAGCAAATTACAGTGCAACAAAATATGTATTTATTCCCCTTTTGATGACATATATACTAAACTCTATTTTTATCAGTGGGGCATAGATACTTCAGTAGAAATACATAAAGCTTATCTTTAAATATGTTAAGCATAAGTTTGACCCTATCTATAACTAAAAATCAGTTGCAAGACCTTATTAAAGATTTTTCCAAAGGAAGAGAATTATAAAAATGTCACATTTAATAAAGTAGTACTTTGGGCCTTAAAATTCAGTTAAATTTCACTCTCAATAACTCAATCTTTAACAGAACAAAAAAGAAAGAACATTAGGAAAAACCAGTCAAGTTCATTTTGATTATCAAGTAGACTTAAAATTTCCTAGAAAAATTAGAATCTATCTACTTAGTGTATATCCCACAGAGCACAGTACGCTAGCAGTAGCAAAACTAAAGTAAGCAACTTCTAAACACAGAAGACTCCCTCAAACCCTAAAGAGATTCCCCTTTGTAATCTAGTGGCCTGAAGAATGTATCCAATCCCAGATATGCAGCTTTAAGTAAATCTGAACATTCTTTCAGCCCATAGTTATAACTACAAGACACTGTCTACAATAGTATGAAATAACTACAGTTATAACAAGACATTGTCTACAATACTATGAAAGCTCAAAAATAAATTCATCAGTTATTAATAAAATTATCAGAAATGGTTAAAAGGAGAAAAACCATATTGCACTATAATTACATAAGACGTAAGGGAAGTTAGGTGAAGGGTACAAGGGAGTATCTCTGTACTATCTTTGCAATTGCCTGTGAACATATAATTTTTTTTTTAAGTTAAGGGGGAAAAAAAGAATAACACTCTCTAAAAACTGGGATTTATCAGGGTACTGTCTTTGGCTCTCTTCTTATGTCCCACACACATGCTGATAATGTCTAACTCTATTATCTCCAACCCAAATCTCTGAACTCCAGACTCTCCGAATGACTACAGTACATCATTACCCAGAAGGCATCTCAAACTCTTAAGTCTACTACTGAACCAACTCACTGTCTTCCTAAAAAACAGTTCCTCTTCCTGCATTTCCTGACCCAAGGAACATGAACCACTATCTATCTAGTGATAAGTCATATTGCAATCACCTCCTGGTTCCTCTTCCTCTTCACCTCACATCTAAACAATCCTTAATTCTCTCTCTCTAATATTTTTCAAATTTTTCCCTTCAGGTAATCATCTCTTTCATGGTTAACAGAAGAGCCTCCCAACTACTTTCCTTTAGTTTTACTCCATTCCAAACCAATGTCCCCACTGGTGCCCTGATTATCTTCCTTAAATAAAAATGTTAACACTCCTTCCTCTGAACTTCAAGAGATGTTCTTCATGCCTTCCTGACTAGGTCCCTACACCCAAGCTCTGTATTCTACGTTCCAGGCATATCAAACAACTCAGTATCAGAAATCACTGTGTTAACATCTGGAGAAGGCTTGCAGATTTAACACATGTATCTACTACTATTCTCTCCCAAGATCCACTAAAAGGATATAAGAAGATTTGTTTTTAAAGACCTAAAACCATAAATATAAAGACAGCATAAGAAGAGATAAAAGCAACTCATTTTTGGAAGCTGGAAAAAAAGACAAGTGGTAACTGACAGCAGACTCAGAAAACCAAAGCTCAAAGTCAACAGTGAAAAAAGAGCAAGAAGCAACTTGATTTACATTACAGAAACTCTGAAAGACTCAGGAACTGACAGCACCAGGTCTTTTGGGAAGGGGGAAGTTGAAGGGGAGATATTCAAAATACGAGGACCTTTAGAAGGTGTTTAAAAAGCAGTTTGATGCCAAGATTTCATCAATGTGCAGAAACAGCCCAACAAGTGGCCCTCCCCTGAACCAGCATTTTCTGGTAAGGTAAAACAAATGGTCTCAAGACAGGGAGAGATCAGGTAACCAAGAGCAGGGATACTATATGAAATAGGGAGATGTAATATGTAACAGGCAGGAGACTGAAGGATCTTTCACCGAGGAAAGATCTCAAAAACATGGAACGTTCCCCTACAAAATAACCCAGCTAGATCATCTGAATGGAAAAATCCAGTCAACATGCCTCATATACACACTCAAACCTTCCAACCAGCTTTTTAGTGCCCACACTTAAATTTAAACAGACAAAATGTTGATATAGTTCTTGAAGTTGGGTGATGGTTAACTAAGGATTCATTATACTATTCTTCCTTCTTTTGTGTATACTTCAAATTTTTCACACACACAAAAATAGGCAAACAAGGATAAAGAGATACAATTAAAATATCTAATATGAAAAATAGAGAACAAAACAAACAAATAGAAAAGAGCACCTTGAAGGAAACAGAAACCATGTAGAGAGATAAAAGTTTGGGAAAATATATTATTGACATCCTTGGTAGAATAAAAGAAAACATTGCATTCATGAAACAAAAATGAAATGCTGTAAAATGATTACTCAACAAAACAAAACAGAATTCATAGACATTATAGCAGGAAAGAAAAACTCATTAGAAAGGTTGAAAGATAAAGTTGAGAAAATTCCCCAGAAAGAAGAGCAACATGACAAAGAGAAGAAAAAGCAGAAAAGACTAGTACGAAAAAAAATAGAGGACTGGTTCATTCATCTTTTATCTAAGTGATAAGAAGTTCAGACAGAAACAAAAAAAAGAACATGAAGGGAAAGAAATAATCTATAAAATACAATAAAGTTACCTAGAACCGAAGAACATGAGTTTCCAATTTGAAATATCCACCAAGTATCCAGAACACTGGGATGAAAATACACCTACATCATCATAAAATTGAAAACAGGAACACAAAGATCATACAAGTTGCCAAGGAGGGGAAGGAGGGATGATGTATTCAAGAATCAGGAATTAAAATGGCTCCGGGTTTCTAAGTGCAACTCTGGAAAGCTAAAGGACAAAGAAAAAAATGTCTCTAAAATTTTTAAGGAAAATCTAGAATTCTATACCCAATCATACTATTAATCAATGTGAAAACACAATAAAGACACTTTCACACATGCAAAATCTCAAAAAAATTGACCTCTCTTGTATCTTTTGCAGAATGCCACTAGCATCCTCCAAAATTCTCCATCAGAAAAAGGAGGTAAAACAAGCAAGAAGACAGGTACAGACAATAGGCATCCCACAGACAGGACAGGCAAGAAGAATCCTTTTGATGACAGTGAAGGGTATCCAGTTATAACAGCCGTGCACAAGCATAGAGTAAAACCGGTCCAGATTAAAGCACATAAGAATCTTCCAGATATCAAGATGATGAAAGTAACAAGATACCTGATGTGTCTGAACATACTGAGGAAACATTTAGATAATAGGTGAGGAGTATGGGTTCAATTACATAGAAAATTAAATGTAGTAGGCAGAATCCTAAGAAGACCACCTATGGTTCCTGGCCCTAGGGTATACACACCATTCCCCAGTGATTCAACCAAACATTAATCTAGATACTACTCTGAAGAAATTTTTTTTTTGGTGAGAAAGATTTACTCTGAGCTAAAATCTGTTGCCAAGCTCCCTCTTTTTTTTTTTTTTTTCCTTGAGGAAGACTAGCCCTGAGCTGACATCTGTGCCAATCTTCCTCTATTTTGTATGTGGGTCACCGCCACAGAATGGCTTGACAAGTGGTGTAGTTCCGTGCCTAGGATCCCACCTGCGAACCCAGGCCGCCAAAGCAGAGCGCAACAGACCCAAGCACTACACCAAGGGGCCGGCCCCCTGTGAACAAATTTTACAGATATGATTAAGGTCCCATATCAAGTGACCTTAAGATAGGAAAAGTATCCAATTAGGCCTGACCTAATCACATGAGCTCTTCAAGAGAGTTTTCTCTGGCTAGCTGCATAGAGGAAGTCGGAGATTCAAAGCCTCAGGGAATCTGACATATGAGAATTTCTCCTCTGCTAACACTGAAGATGATGGGGGTCAAGTCTCAAAGAATGTGGCTGGACTCTAGATAGTCTGAGAGATGCCCCAGCTGACAGTCAAAAAGTAAATTGAGATCTCAGTCCTACATATCAAGGAACTGATTTCTGCCAACAAGCTGAGTGAGTATGGAAACAGATTTTCCCCCAAAGCCTCCAAGGCAGAGCTTAGCCTGGAACACACCTCCATTTCAGCCTGTCAGATCCTGATCAAAGAGTACAAACATGGTGTGCTGGACCTCTGACTTACAGACCTATGAGTTAATAAATGGATGTTATTTTAAGCCACTAAGTTTAACATAATTTGTTACACAGTAAGGTAAAATATAAACTAAAAAAATTATTAATACATGAGTGGAGATCAGAGGCATGGTTGCACAAGAAAGAAAATTAAACATAACATAATGATACATATGCATTTAATAGCCTTTATATAGTCACACAAATAAAAACACTAAATAGTGACTTAACAAACTATAATGTAACTATATGGGGAGGATGGGGGAACAGGAGTCACATAAAGGGGAATGAAAGAATAATCTTCATCTTCTATACAAGGAAGTCAAGAGATAACGTCTACAATGCTTAGATCAAGAATGAACAACATAAGTATGTTACTTAGAGCTAAAGAGATAAAAAGCCTAAAAGATGGGCTCTAAGTGTTGAAACTGGATTCCTCCACCAAATAGGAACTGGAGATACTGCTACTTTTCATAAAAAGTCTTCAAGAACTGACTCCTTAACCTATCCATATGTAAAACTGATCAATATATAAACCCAAAACAAGAAACAAAAAGTACCACATTCTCTCATGCCTAGGGGGCTTTACACATGCTGGCCCACTTGTTTAAAATATCCTTACCATTCTCATCCCTGAACCACCATCTCATTAACACCTCTTGTTTAGCACTATTTAACACCAACACTATTTGGGTACCACCTCTGTCAGGAAGCCTTCCCTGATATCCCACCTCACCCTCAAGTCTGAGATAGGTAACACACAATGTGCCCCCACAACACCGTGTTCTTATTGCTAAAAGAGCACTTAACTGTTTAGTCTTCTCCTAGACAGCCACATTCACAAAGAGCTTGCCCTATTCATTTCTGTATCCCAGTACCAAATACCACATATTGCACATTGCAGGTGTTCAAAAACTATTTATTGTATGAATAAATGCTTACTCCCACTGAGAACATCTACTGCAGATTAGAAAGTTTCAGTCATTAATCCCCTCCCCAGTCAGAGACTACCAGTCTGGGTTCCCAGAATTTAAAAACAAAAATGTATAAATACTTACACTAGTATTTGCCTGTGAAATTTTAAAAGTCAAAAGATGGCAGTGTTTTGCATGAAAGGAAACTTACCAATAACCCTTAGTACAATCTTCTCAAATGACTGAAAAACTTATTTTAAGCTACACTCTCAGTTTTAATATTAAACATTATATGCTTTCTCCAAAAAGAGTGGATAATTACTTGGCTGGAATCTTGCACCCTTGGCCTACAAATACACAGGGTACGTAGGTGTCATGATTAAAGGAAAAGGCCCTATACACTCCAAACATTCCATGTAAGTTACTCTGGCCTCCTAAGATTTCCTGAGGTAACACTACTGAAGAGACACAGAAGCTGGGTTTTTTTCACACTTCCCTCATAAAACTCTCAAATTGAGTCTAAAAACACATTTTGGCAGAGATGTAATGCAAAAGGTATAGATATCACTCTGTTCTGTCACTTATGAGAGCAATCTCAGGCTAGTCACTAACCTTCTCTTGGCCTTGGTACCCTCATCTATAAAAGGGATATAATCTTTCAGGATAAACATAAGAATTAAAGGGTAAACAGGAAGAACTGCTAAGCCAGATACTCATTAAAAATAAAAAGAAAGTGCTTTTAAAAAAATTTTGTATCACTACTCTTCTATCTAAAACCGCCTTAGACAGAAATTTGGAACTATAAAATTCATCCTTAAATATTTACTGAAAGAATGAGTTTAGGGCCGGCCCCGTGGCTTTGTGGTTAAGTGCGCGCGCTCCGATGCTGGTGGCCCGGGTTCGGATCCCGGGCGCGCACCGAGGCACCACTTCTCCGTCCATCCTGGGGCCGAGTCCCACATACAGCAACTAGAAGGATGTGCAGCTGTGACATACAACTATCTACTGGGGCTTTGGGGGGAAAAAAAAAAAAAAAAAAAATCAAAAAAAAAAAAAAAAAAAAAAGAATGAGTTTACCCTTCAAAAAAGTATCAGGGTACCTGAGAAAGGTTTTTTTAAAACTAATATTAGAAAGTTATTTTTTTTTTTTAACTTATTAGAACATTTTAGAGTAGTAATTCTTAATTTAGAGAGAGATCTCTCTATGGGAAAATCTATCAAACTTTGGGTCAAGGGCAGTACAAATCACTTGAGCATCCCTGCACCCAGATGTTCTGAGTCTTGGTGTTAGGCTCCGCCCTCTCTATACTGTCATCGTCAGACTATAATTCACTACAACAGTTCAAATGAGAACTACAGTCCCGTTCTCTCTCTCTCAAGTTTTAGGTTCTGCTCTACCTGCTGCACATCCCAATACCTCAAGGTTAAGATGTCTATAATCAAATTCACTCCTCCTCTCAAAAGCAACTCACCTATTATCCTGCCTTCCCCATTTATGAAAGGGAAAATTTTTATTTTAAATCAAGAAAAAAGAATGAAAATGGAGAGTACATTTATGTAGAAAAGCCCTGAATACCAAGGACACTGCACGCAAGGACTGCACAAATCAGGAGTCTACCATCACTGGACCACGAAACCTGATGAAAGAACTCATCTTTAAAAAGGAGAGAATATCTTTCAGATGTCAAAAAATGTCCAACGTAAACAGACAGAAGGTGTTTTTAAAACTGTTTAGATCACACATGAAAGAGACAAAATGTAAGGCCTTTCACTACCATTAATATAAATCACATGAAAACAATGAAAAATTTTAAAGAAGAAAAAATACTAAACTAAGAAACTGTGCAGAAGTAACTTACCTGAACAAGATGAATAAGTGTTGTGAGAATAGCACATCTCAACATATTGTGTTCTTCACTCTGCTTCCAAAGAAGAGGCAAATACTGTACCAAACATCCAACATACGGTCGTATCTATCACAACAGAAGTAGGGGAAGCAAAAGAATTGTATTAGTAAAGAAGGCGACTTACTTCAAGAAACAATGACAGACTTATTAAGTGCCAGGCAGCAAATATTTAATACTTACTAGATGTACTGTGTTAAGCATATATCCTTTTAAAGATAAATTAGACATTACATAGAGAGACAGAGCTTTATGGTAAATATTTTTAAACAATTTTAAACAAGTACCAAATTTACTGCATGAAATAAAATTTAGTGATACAAAACAACATACTGAGGCTAGTTATTTCTTTAGAGTTTAATAGAAAATGCTGTTATATCCTGGTTCTTTTTAATAAAACAGCTTACTTAACTGGAAATTATACCGTTTTAAAAAGAATCAGCATTTACTCATTCATTCAACAATTATCTGATAGCATCTTCCAAATATCAGGCCCTGAGGACAAGGCACTGGAAAGAAAAGGATGTGAAGGCAGACACTCAAATCCTTACGATAATAAGGATAGTGCAATGGTACAGTGGAAACACAGGACAAGAAAATCCTTTTCCAAGGATAAAACTGTTAAGCCCACTATGGATGAAGTTAACCAGTTTTAAAAATACACCCTAAAGCACAGCACAGCTTGACAGTGAGTTTCTTGGAAAATACAATGAATCTACACCGAAGCTGAAAAGCACTCCAGCTCTAGGCTTACAGTCACAGTATTGGGAATTGCTCTGATGAGAGCACCCTTGGTAATAAAAGAGAAATACTAGACCTTCACAGCTTCAACACTATTTCAATCACACAGATTAAAATAAGAAACTGCTCCCAGAAAGAGTGAGAGTTTCTTTATTCTGCTTAGAAAACATCATACACTAAAAGGGCAGCAAAAAAACTGTAGGATTTGTTCCCCCTGCGTGGGGTGGGGGGGCACAGAAAGATAAGAAGTTAAATATTTGCCCACATATTTCAGTGAGATAAAGCTGAATAAATATTAAAAGACTCTTTACTTATTATATATTACCTTATTTTCAGATTTTGAATCATACTATTACAATAGATATTTATTGAGCACTTAATTTTGCTAAGTGCTCTATCTCAAAGATCACTCCAATTAGCTTATGAAAGCAGACAAATTAACATGTAAAAACACAGGTTTCAAAGTACCTAACTCATTCATACTCAATTAAAAACGGCATATAACAGCCTGTTCTACTGATAAGAAAAATAAACTGGTTTTAGTTTTAAACAAATAGAATATTTTCCAAAGAATGGCAGAAAGGAAGTATATGCTATGAATTATAGATACAGCAGGTAATAAAACCAAAGTAATCAGTTACATTTGAAAGTCATAAAATATTTATAACCCAATCTTAGCTGCTCCTTAGAATGTATGATATTCTAAATTAAAATTAATGCTTCAAAAACACTATCTCAAAAATCACCCAGTCACTGTTGCCAAAAAGGGCTGAGGATTAGAAAACAGAGTGATGACACGAGAACCAAACACATTCCCTTAGGGTAGGAGGAGGGAGGTTAAAAAATACATTATAGGGGCACCTGAGGAAATCTGAATACGGACTTGATATCAGACAATAGCACTGCATCAATGTTAAGTTCCCGAGTCTAATCATGGTCATGATTAAGAACAAGAAGTCTAATATTTTGGGATGAAATGTCATGATGTTTGTAACTAAAATTCAAATGCTTAAATTAAAAAAAATCTGTATATGCACACACATAAAAAAAGAGCAAGTGTGGTAAAACGTTAGTAACTGAACTAGATGAAGGATATATGGGTGGTGATTTATTGCAATTTTTCTGTATATTTGAAATTTTTCAATAAAAAGACGTGAAAGAAAAAATATTGTCCATATTTCCAAAAATGATTATAATGGGGTTTTTTGGTAGACCAATATCAATTATTTGCATAACATTTAAAAACCACATGGAACTAAGAATGTTTCATAGACTTCAGGCTAAATAATAACCCTATAAGAGAAACTGAACAATCAACATAACACAATTGAGATGAAAAAGTATACCAAATGTACTCTTCTTTTGGCACCTCTACGCCAAAACAAAAAAACAAAAAAGACAAACAGAATTTGGGGAAGTATTACAAGTATTCCAGTCTTATGAGTTAGTTCATCACATAAGGGAGATATCCACTTTCATTCGTAACTCATTACTGAAAACATGTGAAAAGCAAATATGTGACACTCTAACAAATGCTTTAACAGGGTTCTATCCATAGGGGGTTTTGAAAAATAAATCCCTAAAGACAACTCATCTCTTAGATAACATTTTCAACAGAATATTTAATATTTCACACAGGCACCTTAATTTTGTTCTTCTCCTTCAGAAATGCGTCAAGACCATCTGCCTGACATCACACCTGATGACTACATATTTTTTCTGACTATGTATTTATGGGATCCCTGCACTGGAATAATTTAATTATAGGTTTTCAGCCACTTTTTTAAAAAGCAGAGGAAATATAATCTTCAAATAATTGCACGCTATGGTATAAAGATGATGACTTCACTGAAACTTCAAAATTAAACTATTATGTGTCAGAAAGCAGTGTTTTAAGATGGCTCAAAATGTTTGCAACCTAATGGACAAAAATCAAATTTAGTATATGACCGATAGTTGAAGGATATATAAATAACAGTGTTGTTCAAAGGTTAACATAGGAAAAAGTTAAAAGAATCAGACTACTGAAAGCATTTTTCATAATCATTTCCTATCTGAGTTCTGAAAGCAAAAAGTACTACTGGTAACTATATCTTATTGTTATTTATTGAGGACATAGTCATCTGAGCTGCTTAGGCTATTTGTGTTCTGAAAGATGCGTATGGATAGAAACAAAAGCATTTTTAGATTTACTAAGCAAGAGGAATTTCAAATTTTTGGAGAAAAACGTTTAGTTAGAGGTTTGGGGAGATGCAGGTAAGAAAATTCATTTCTACAAAAAAAAAAAAATCTTCTTGAAGAAATTTCCATTAGCCAGATAATATCTAAATAAGATTATTTAAAAAATGGCAAAATCTTGTTTCTATAATCAATTTTTTTAAACAAACAATAATTTATTGCAATTGTATAGTGATCTAAAGCATACTGAACATTTGCAATAATTTCATACTCACCAAAGCTTATGAGTTACGTGAGCTCAGAATTATCTCTACCATTTTATACATGAGGACACAAGGTTAAAGACCAGCCCAAACTAAGCAGCAGAACAGGGACTTGAAATGAGTTTAAAATACAGTTTCAATGACCAAACTCTCTCAATGTTGTTTATAAACCAATATCAAAATGAAATGCTGTAAGTAACGTAATAAGAACCCCAAGTGCTAAGAAAATTGTAAAATATTACTACTTTTAGACACCAGAACCCAGATTTCCGCAAAATGATTAATGGTTACTCAAAACTGCCAGTGGAGTTGCATAATGTTGAGTTTGAATCCTGGTAATGCCACTAACATGTCTGAACTTCAACAAGTTCCTTCAAGTCTCAAATTGTTTGAGATAATAAATTCTAGACACCATCCAAAGATTTTTGTGAGGATTAAATGAGATACATATGCAAATCACGTGGCACAGAAGTTGGTAACTTGTCCTTACTCAATAATTGATAGCAATTCTTATCAACTGCTTTAGAATTAATAAACAGGCTCAAGGCACTGGAATTCACCAACAGACCCAGGAGCAAGACTCCAAGTCTGTGGATTCAAACTCAGTCATCTTTCCCTAATACTTCAACAGATTTACTTGAGTGCTTTTCAAACAAGAATACGCAGTGGTGAACTAGGATATAAGAAATTACAGGATAATTACAGGGTGCTTTCCTGGATTACCAATTTTTCAGAAAGATTAGGAATGACAGGGGAACTTGAATAACTGTTAAATAATAATTTAACTGTTAAGAACTTTACATATCATTTTAATATTAATCCAAACATGAATATAATGTGGATTAAACTGCAAAACACACTTACTTTTTTAAGGTATAAATAACAGATTTGTGTGAATATTCGCATTTGCTGACAGACACTTATGGCTATACACTCACACTGATTTTTAAGAAGTATTATTAAGTATAAACTGGATCTGCTAAGAGGTATAAAATTCTGCTTTCTAAGGAGCCAGCCTGGTGGTGTACTGGTTAAGTTCCCATGCTACACTTCGGCGGCCAGGGTTTGCTAGTTCAGATCCCGGGCACAGACCTACACACCAATCGTCAAGCCATGCTGTCGCAGCGTCCCACATACAAAATTGAGGAAGATGGGCACAGATGTTAGCTCAGCAACAATCTTCCTCAAGCGAAAAGAAGACGACTGGCAACGGATGTTAGCTCAGGGCCAATCTTCCCCACAAAAAAAAACATTCTGCTTTCTAAACACCTCTACATTGCTGATCCAATGTTTTAACTTTAATTTTCTTGTCATTTTTTAACAACTCGAGTATAAATGCCAATTTTGAATAATACATAACCAAAATGACAACCTATAAGTTAGAAGCATTTTAATGAATGTTTTAACTTTTAAACAACATAGATAGGGCTGGCCCCATGGCTTAGCGGTTAAGTGCGCGCGCTCCAATGCTGGCGGCCCGGGTTCGGATCCCGGGCGCACACTGACGCACCGCTTCTCTGGCCATGCTGAGGCCGCGTCCCACATACAGCAACTAGAAGGATGTGCAACTATGACATATAACTATCTACTGGGGCTTTGGGGGAAAAAAAAATAAAAAAAATTTAAATAAAAATAAAAATAAACAATATAGATAAAGCAAAGATTAATGAATTCCACATATACTCTACTTACCTCTCTGACATTTACTTTCATGTTTTACAACAAAATTACCTGCATGTTGACTCTTTCAATCACACAAGAAAGGACATGTAAAACATGCATCTTTGTGTCACATTCTGTAACTTGCTGCAGTAACTGAAAAAGTAGTGTGAACATGGTTTCCAAATACTGCAGATAAAAAGAAAAAAAAGGTTCGAAATAGAAATGTAAAGACCTTTACACACGGACAGAAATAAGAAATAAAATTAAATCATAATGTCAAAACAATAAAAGACAAACAGCCAAAACCATAGCAACTAACCTAAACAACTTCAAATTGTTCAAGCTGCCAATATTTAGGACAGCGATTTTTTTCCTTTATTGCTGCTAAACATGTCCATTTTAGAATTTAATTCATCCACCAACTGAATAACGTCTTCAGAGGAAAGCTGTGTCTAAACGTTTTGTGTTTAGATTTTAAACTGCTGACTAAACCATTGCCCGCGCCTCGGCACTTCTCCACACACGCCTGCTGTTGCGCAAGGTCTGCTCATGAAAGCAAACGGAACGCCAGCTACGGCACTCACACACCAGCCGTCTGATGTGGCCCCTAACATTTGCTGGAGATATGAATTTCTGTAGATAAATACTTCTAATTCTAAGAATGACAGACTACTTATTAGGAAATAGAAAACAAATATCCTAGCTTTTAACTCCTACATTACACAAGTTATAATAGGAATTATAGGATTATATTATAGTAAGATGCCAGATACATAAAACATTCATTTGTTCTTTCAGATATTTGGTTCATTTTTACATAGATTTCTAAAACATATTTTTTTCATCCAAAAATACTTAGTGATTCTTTTATTAAAGAAAAATCTTGGCTCTACAAGCTTCCCCATCTATGACTCCCACAAGAAATGTAGATATTTTATCAAGAACTTTCGTCTTGCCTAGTCCTCTTAAGAACAAATACTGCCTCCCCAGTCTTATTAACATATTTAACAAATGCTTACTAAGTACCAATAATGTAAAAACACCATGCTGGGTGCTGGGGGTTAAGTGAAGAATAAAAAGATAAGACTTGGTATTCTGCTTTTCAAGTAATTTGCAATCCAGTGTAGGATAGACATATATACACAAACAACAGAGGAGTAAAAGTAACAGACACACACGAAATGAAGTGACTAGATGTTACACAAACAACAGAGGAGTAAAAGTAACAGACACA